TCTGCTGTCAAATCCTTCCGTATCCGTATGGAATGATGATCCCTTAACTCTTTCTCTCTTTTATACCCCAAGACAACCCCATCCTCTTTGACCTTCTAATCCCTGAAATCCCTCACACCTCCGCCCCAAGGGAGGTTTACAATCCCACAAGAAGGCTGCCCTTCCCCCGAGGGATGCTTACTATCCCTCATTCTCACTTTCTAATCCCTTTTATCTCTAACAGTTCAGCCCTAACGAAAGCTTAACACCCACAATGAAGGCTTACTATCCCCAGAGGGATGCTTACTATCCCTCAGAGAGTAGGTGCTACCAGTTTAACACCACCCCCAATAGTTTTCAGCCCTGATAAGGAAAGCTAAACACCCACAATGAAGGCTTACTTCTTACTATCCCCAGAGAGATGCCTCAGATAGTAGGTGCTTCCCATTTAACACCACCCCAATGGTTTGCAGTCCTGAGGGTAAAGGCCCAAGGGATTGTGCTCAATATCCCTTACAGTCCAGCAGCTTGGGCGTAGCTTTCCTTGTGCATTCGAACAATACATCTTGGCACACCTTTCTGTTGGGGACCTTCATGTCCTGACGAATAACCATTTCTTCAGTTAAATTCTTCTCCTCCTCTACCTTTTCCCCTAACCCCCGGGGTTATCAAATATATATATATATATAATTATATATTATATATAATGAAAAGCACTGAAGTACAAACCCGCGGCGCACTGTGACGCGCGCGCGTAAGTAAACGCATGTGCCGTACCACTAATTGATGGGCTGGGTTTAGTTTTAGCTGTTACTCCGTGGTCTCTTGCCAGCTCACGCAGAGTCTGACGCGGGCTAACTACACTACCAGATAGCATGCGAGAGGCGATACACGCCCTGCGTTGCATCTTCTGGTGCCTCCGAAGTACGCAGAGCACGCGGATCGATCCGACTGTGGTAAGCCATCCCGTCCGTTGTGTATTTGCATATTGGTTTTTTCGCGCTCTAGCTTTGCAACGGAGCATTTTCAGAGAAAACCGCCTTTATTTTCTGACCTTCGTCGCCCGTTGGGTAGATGGTATCGTTTCTGGGACGAACAGACGTTCGAGGAGTGAGATATAGACTAACAGACAGACAAACAAACAGACCCAACTACAGTACCCTCGCTGCGCATGCGCGCCGAGGGTAATGAAAAGCACTGAAGTGCAAACCCTCGGCGCACTGTGACGCGCACGCGCAAGTAAACGCATGCGCAGTACCACTAATTGATGGGCTGGGTTTAGTTTAGCTGTCACTCGTGGTCTCTTCCCAGCTCGCGAGGAGTCTGACGCGGGCTAACTACACTGCTAGATAGCATGCGAGAGGCGATTCACGCCCTGCGTTGCATCTTCTGGTGCCCCCGAAGTACGCAGAGCACGCGGATCGATCCGACTGTGGTAAGCCATCCCGTCCGTTGTGTATTTGCATATTGGCTTTTTCGCGCTCTAGCTTTGCAACGGAGCATTTTCTGAGAAAACCGCCTTTATTTTCTGACCTTCATTGCCCGATCAGTAGGTCGTATCTTTTGTGAGACGGACAAACTCTCGAGAAGTGAGATTGAGAGTAACAGACAGACGGACAGACAGACGGACAGACAGACAGACAAACCCAATGAAAAGCACTAAAGTGCAAACCCTCGGCGAACTGGGGATGCGCGGTACCGCTAATTGATGGGCTGGGCTGCTATTAGTATGCGTTTACTCGTGGTTTCCCGCTAGTAGCTCGCAGAGAGTCTGACACGGGCTAGCTACAGTAGTAGACTGTATGCGAGAGTCCCTTCGTTGTGACTTCTTGTGCCTTCAAGATACACAGAGCAAGCGGACCCGGTCGAGGTTAAAGCCTGTTGCGCATGCGCGTTTTCCGCAGCGATAAAAATGGCCGACTACGCATTAGCCGTTCAATGGTGGAAGCGCTTTAGCTCTGCAACGAAGCATTTTCAGAGAAAGCCCCACATAGTTTCTGACCTTCGTCGCCCGTTGGGTAGATGGTATCGTTTCTGGGACGAACAGACATTCGAGAGATGAGATTGAGAGTAACAGACACACACACACACAAACACACAGACAAACCCAACTACAGTACCCTCGCTGCGCATGCGCACCGAGGGTTAACTACAGTAACCCTAGCTGCGCATGCGCGCCGAGGGTTAATGAAGCACAGTGCAAACCCTCGGCGAACTGCATATGCGCGGTACCGCTAATTGATGGGCTGGGCTATTAGTGTGCGTTTACTCGCGGTCTCCCGCTAGTAGCTCACAGAGAGTCTGACACGGGCTAGCTACAGCATTAGATAGCATGCGAGAGTCGATACACGCCATTCGTTGTGCCTTATTGTGCCTTCAAGATACACAGAGCAAGCGGACCCGGTCGAGGTAAGCCTGTGCTGAATATAAGCGCATGCAAATTTTCCGGAGCGATAAAATGGCGTCTACCGGCATTAGCCGTACAATGCCGGATGCGCTCTAGCTTTGCAACGGAGCATTTTCAGAGAAAACCGCCTTTATTTTCTGACCTTCATTGTCCGTTAAGTAGGTCGCATCTTTTGTGCACCCGTGAAGTGAGATTGAGAGTAACAACCCAACTACAGTAACCCTCGCTGCGCATGCGCGCCAGGGTTAACTATATACAGTAACCCTCGCTGCGCATGCGCGCCGAGGGTTAATGAAAAGCACGAAAGTGCAAACCCTCGGCGAAGTAGCTCGCAGAGAGTCTGACACGGGCTAGCTACAGTAGTAGATAGCACGCGAGAGTCGATACACGCTATTCGTTGTGACTTCTTGTGCCTTCAAGATAGACACAGCAAGCAGACCCGGTCGAGGTAAGCCTGTGCTAAACCTATATACATATGTACCTATGCTTAGGGTTGACCTTTGTTGTATATATGGCGCCATACAGACAGTTGTAACCAATAAAAGTTGGAACAGAAAGTGAAGACTCACCTTATGAGGCATGATGGTGATAAAAGAGCAGAAGAGAGCAATGACTGAAACCGACGATATAGAACATTCTTTATGGTATCCACATGTGCAACACAATGTGCAATACCAGAATGTGAATTTATGGGAAGATACCATTATCTTCCGCAGAATTTTGTTAAAACCAATTTCAAGTTGTCTTATTTGTTTTGCACCCAGCGACCAGATGGAGGCACCGTAGAGGGCAGTATATAGGACTTGATTAAAAGGTCTTCAAAAAAGGATCCACATGAAGAAATGTACATAAAACCGACTTAGCTTTACGAATCAAGTCCTTTAAAACTCAAGCAATATCTTCAGAATCATCCAGGGTGCTACTGAGGATATGACCCAAGTGCGTGACTTTACTGGAGTACTGAAGAGCAACATTATTGAACATTATAGTGGCAGATTGAGGATGTATAGATGAAAACAAATTAGCTGTATTTATAATTATTAGCATTGAATTCTAGTTTCCTCTTTGTGGCAAATGAGTTGCAGATCATGTCTAACATAATCTGTAGGGCTGACGCACAAGGTGCTAACAACACAATTTCGTCTGTGTAGCAAAACACACCAGCAAAAACAGAACCCCAAAAACAGCCAACACCACTCCTACTCAATTCCAGCAAGAAACCATCTACATAATTATTTTACTGATTGTAACAGAGGTGACAGAATACTTCCGTGGCGAACACCATTAGACACAGAAAATGGAACAGACAAACTTGGTCTCAAAAACAAGACCCTCTTTCCTTGTACGACAGGTTGGCTTGGGAGACTAAGAAGATTATCGTTGTTTCGAGGGCAGTTTTTTTCTCTTCCTTGTCCTGAATGTATTTGCATTGCCCTGACACCCACTGGTTATTATTAGGTTCATTTAGTATGAGAGCTAATGCATGCTGTCATGGTGGACACATATTGCTGTCTACTATTCCATGTGTCCAGATGGGAGTGGCTCACCTGTTATATATAGCCAATATAGATTGCTCTTTTATTTACATCTATCATTTGTCATGGCTGTATTATGCCACAATGTCTTCGTGACTCTGTCATTGTTCCCATACCAGAAGGGAACAAGGATGCTTCTTGTATAAGTTCTAACTTTCGTCCAGTTGCTCTATCTTCAAATCTTAGTAAAGTTCTTGAGCGACTCATAACTCTGCTTTCTACCCACCGTATGCAATAAACCAGCAGGCATGGCACATAAAATTAATGGCACCTCAAATACTCTGTACTATTGTACAAACAATCCATGTGTCCATTACACAATGCAATGTGAGAGCAGTGTTGCATGAGAGAGTGGCCCCTGACCTTGGCCACGAGGGTATGGAAGCGGTGTGGGGAAGGGATCATGTGAGGATAGGGAGAACTCTGCTCTGACACCTCGTCAATGTCAAAGTGCTGGGCTCCAGCCAATCTCTCACCCTAACTCCTTGTTACCTGAGACCTCCATGTCTGTATGGCGGAAGTCAGCAGCAGTCTCGTCACCTGGTCCTGGACCTTCAGCTGGTGGTGCTGCTTCTTCTGTTGAGAAATCACCTCCTCAGTATGTTACTATACCCATTGTTGCATGGTGAACTCAATTACCACCATACCATCCATCCATCCAGATCCAAGACAGAGGAGTCCCGTCTCTCGCCAGAAGAGGATTACCCCTTCGTTGAGAAGCCATCAGAGGATTTCTTCTGTCCAATGATATTGGGTCTAATGCTCCAGCCTCACCTCATGTCATGCTGTGGTAAACATCTCTCAGAGGAGTCTGCCACCAGAATACAGGGAGAGGGAGGACCATGTCCACTCTGCAAGTCTCCTGACTGGAGTACTCTGTTAGACAAACACGTCCGTCGACAAGTGAAGGAGCTTCATGTGTTCTGTCGTCACAAGGAGAAACGCTGTTGGTGGAAAGGAGAGTTGTCTGACTTTACACAACATTTCCAGTGTTGCCAGTTCAGGTATTTATGTCAATAACCTTTTAGACAACTTTGAGTAGTAGCTACCTTTCCCTGCAGATATACAGACACATATACCACAGTTTCCCAGGGTCTCTGGACTGGACTGTGTCTGATCGCTACCTCTCTCTCCCCACTGACAAGACCCTAGCCACATACATCTCGATAGACGCTACTGGACAGGTAATAATATTTATCACTAATGTTGGTGTGTGCAGTCAGTTTGTGTTTTGAGTCGCCCCATTCTACATATTCCTGGGATATGTGTGTTGTTTGCCTTTAAGTCTTGACCTGGAACCAGCTTGTGGATGTTTCTGAAACTATATCCTTTACTCGAAATAGTACTCATGTGTACCAATGTCTCTATAAGCAGTTGTGAATGTGAAAGCTTTGTGAGGTATTATGTGCTACGATGTACTCACATTTTACTACAGTACGTGTATTGTGCTTGCTGTACCAACAAACTTTTTTGTTGGTTGGTCACTTGGACTGTTAACAAAAGGGGTACAAATTTATACTTAATGCTCCTTATAGTTCTTTGACTGAGGCTGCTTCTTCGATTTGGTCTGTCAGAAAACACTGTGCATAAAGAAATGGATTGCTTCCTACCTTTTTACAGGGCGGTTGGGTAGTAATGGCAACCATGCATGGCGGTCTTCCCACGAATCCCCTCACTAAGGGTAAGGTGATCTTGCTGTGGCTTGTTCAAAGGAATGCCACACTGCTTCTGATTTCACATGTGTGTGTATGAAAACTATGAGGTAGAAAGGCAAATAGGCACAGCAACTACACCCAGGACAGCTCTTTTTTCCAAGGAAAAAGGAAGAGCTGCCCTGGATGGGATTCGACTAGGCGAGTGCTCTACCAACTGAGCTACTAGGGCAACTCAGCTGATAGGGGTTCGAATCTACAACACAAGGCAAACCTCAAACCACTGTGCTATACTCTCATTCAGTATGTAGGAGCAGACCGGGGTATATGGACAGTTTTGGCTAGCAGGAGCATGCAAACTGTTGTGAGTCACTGCTTGATGAGTCTATAGACACCGATTTGATTGTGGTTGACAGGCAAATCTGTATATATACCTGTCTGTTGTCACCAGTATAATAGTAGTAGAATAGTGTGCACTGTGCTCTGGTCTAGGCTGCATGTATCCACATAATCATATAGAACTTGTCTCTACATTTTCTATAATGAATAGTGTCACATTTCATTCTGTCGCGCTTTTTGTGGTTTTCAGAATGTCAGATGTAAGACCGGAACTCTCTCTTGTCATCCCTCCTCGGTATCCGACCTTCCCCAGTGGTCCTTTGATGGCTCCAGGTACTATACATATAGAATGAATGAACGCATTATTGGCGAGCGAGCATGAACATATAAAATTTTTTCCACGCTTATATATTTTCCTCACACACACATTTAGAAACATTATGGTATGTGCAGTACCCTGTGGCCGTGACACAACAAACTTTATTTGCATTGCACTCTAAGTTTGACTATCTTGTGTCTCTCTTGCATTCAGACCCCTAAATATACAAGCTCGTCTTGCACATTTGCCATGACATCACTCCCTTTCTCCTCCTTCCCCCACTTTGATCATATCCTCACAGCACTTCCCAGGCCCAAGGTCATGACAGTGATGTTCTCCTGAAACCAGTCAACTTCTATAGAGACCCTTTCTTCCTGGTCTGCATTAACCTCTATAACTAGTTTGGTGATCAATCTCAGCATCCTAATGTATGAGAAAAGGCAAACATTGATGGTCTCATGCAACGTAAATGTATGGGTATGTTGTGTCTGCATGTTTCATGCAATAGACAACACTCCTTTTGTCATGCAACATGTGTCATGGGCTATCATATACCCAGATATGGTTGCATTAATTTTTGTTTTTTGTTCATGTGCAATGTACATATTGGCTTGAGTCGGCATATCATTTGTATGTAGCAAGTTTGGTTCTAGCATTACTTCATAGGAATTATCTCTCTATTGAATGTTATTGCTAAGCGATGGACTAGAGACTTCCTCAAACCACTCACTGTGATGCAGGGAAATGCAGACCTACGGGAAGTTTCGAATGAGATCGGGTGTCGACCACACCAAACCTCTGTGATGCAGGGAGTGGTTCTGGTCTGTGGTTGTTGATGCAGGGTAACAGTATCCTCGTGTGTGAGACGTATGCAAGGACGGACACCTCACACTACTAAACAAGAGATACTCTTGTGACGGATAAGTAGAGTGTGTACTACTGGCGAGTCACCATAATTACGTGTTCACTTTGTTGCACACAACTTCAATGTCGACGTGTGCATGCACATGCATGTTTGCGAGCATTATAGAATTCTGTTGAAATTCATGTGACTTTCTGCATGCCTATCACGCACGTTTGAAGTTCGCTGCATTTTGACATGTAGCATCGTGTATTATGGTTGTACGTAATCTTATGCCACAACACAAGGGACGATAAGCACACTACATTCTCCTCATACACATGGAACAATGCCAGTGGTAGAGCGCTCGCCGTATGTCGTGGGTTCAAAGGAATCTCTTCTTTTCCTTGGAAAAAAAGAGTTGTCCTGGTGTAGTTGACTTGTTTGCTTGGGCCTTCGCCTTTCTATGTCTCACCTTTTTGTATCAACACGTGAAGTACAACACCCACACCTCTCTACACACTCTTTACACCTCATAGCCTGTGCGTAGTTTACTGTTACGTGAAACTGAAGCACACATAATGTTGAGGCGATCACACAAGTGACACTTCAGGACTTATGAACAAATTGTGTTACAGTAGACATATGAGTATACAAGCAGCAATTCAGACCACTACATACTCATGTAGGCTCAGCCTTACCCGTATATACTGTCACAAAAATGATTGAAGCACTCATTTTTGGTGAGCAATTGCACAACTTGTCAGGGACTTACATGAACAACCTGTTACAGTATGATACAATGCAGTATCCGATCAGCACTTCGACCACTACATACGTAGGCTCAGCCCACTCTCCATTTATAATATACAGTTCTACTAAGGTAACGTCTCTGTGTGTCAGAGTGATTGCTGATGAGAGAACCCAGAGTTTGCCATAGGCGAGTACACTCTACTGGACTACGATGCCACGCCGTTTGGCTGGCCCAAGTCGGCTACCTTGGACAGCATGGTCCTTACTACTGTGCCGTGGGAGCCACCAACGTTTTTGGGAGACAGGTCTGCCCCACCCCCACATTGACATACACAACACAGTGGCGGATCCAGGGGGTTCCGCGGAACCCCCCGTTTTGTCGTTTTGCTTGCATGCGGAGCCGGCGTCATGTGCACCACACAAGTGCAGTCGAAAACGTCTGACAGCGGAATTCCCCTTTTCAAAATCCTAGATCCGCCACTGACACACACACACCACTGTGGATGACATATCAACCTGTAGTGGATCAAGTGAGCACCCAAATCAGTGTTTCTCGCAGCATATAAACTACCGGCACTCCGCGAGATTGAAAAATCCCGAAATGAGCGTGCACAATTATGCGCATGCAACTAGCGGGATTACACTGCATAGAGTAGCACTTGAAAGGCTTTAGGCCAGTAGGGGATTGTCCCAACAGGAAGTGCTTTGAGACATAAGTAGCAAGTACTGTTTTTTCAGCCAGAAAGTTGGGGTAATTATATAATTCATAAGCACCCTGTTTGAATAGTACCCTGCGGGAAACACTGCAATTAACGAGGAAATGGCAAGCACTATGCTAAGGTACAGTGTCAGTAAAAGGGGCATTGCTTCATAAGTCATGGTTTACTGTTTTCTGTTGTTTCATGGTCTAGTCCAACTCCTAGCCCTGTCCCTTATAGCTACTTACTGTGTGTTTAACCAGTGTATCGTGTACTGTGAATTGTTCCCTTCTTCTGTTTTGTTTGAAGAACCTAAAAACGAAGCGGTTGGTGCATTGATGATGGCCATTTTACACATGTGCCCACGTAACTGTCATGTCTATCACGTGGTGTTTTGTGTCCCCACTGTACTCAGATATCAGAGGCCCACTACAAGGCCTGTCTGTAAGCAGGCTGTGTGTGAGTGGCTCCATGCAGAGGTGATGCCAGCTCAGTGGAGTACCAGGTTGGACCTTGTCCCAGGGACAGCCATGGGAGATGAACTATGGGTCTCCAGGTCGGTACATACTCCAGTGTGTATACGTAAAATAGAGAGATTTCAAAGGACTCGTATACCCAGCGTGCCCCGATGTGCGTATGTACCCTTTCGTGTCTTGATCTTTTCTTGAGGTATGTTTGACAGCTCAAAATGTACACCCTAGATGTGAGGAAGGCCTGGGAACTAGGGTTCACCCTTGCCTTTTAGTGTGCTGTAGACTTTGTGCTCAGTTGTCCAAAGTCACACACAAGGCAGCTTTTATACTTTGTGTTGCTTGCTTCACAGACTGTCTGTAGATTTATGTGCAGCCTCACATACCTTTATTGTTTTAGCCCAAACATCTTATTAAGGACAAACACTGTCACCACAAAAATATGTGTACATATCAAAGATCTCACTTCATTCATTGTATGTGGCTGCAGGTACATCTTGCACCATGTGGCGGAGGATTTTGGAGCGATAGTGACACTGGAGTGATAGTGACACCATGCCGGGAGACTGGAACGGGGCTGTAGGCCACTGCAACTTCAGCACCTCCAGAATGAAGGTTGAGAATGGCATGAAGGTATGTCCATACCACCTCTCTCATCTCATTAGCTTTGTCACTGGGACTGTACTTAACTTTAGGAACTTCCATGGCTCTGTTATTATGTCACATTGTAGACACATTTGCTTTGGCTATGTTTTCAGATTCAAAAGTTTGGACAATTGCAAGTAGCACTAGGACCATAGCCCACATGCACACACATACAGTACTGGGCAGAGCCAACAATGAGATGTGTCTGTTTGTATGTACCTCCTAGACATCAGCATTTCCTCCCTTTCCCGGACAATTACTGAGACTGGGACTGTCGAATGTACAGTATTCATAACAATAGGAGGCAAGAATGTAATTGTGAGTGTGTGTGTGTGTGCTGCAGGTGATGGAGGAGGCCCTTCAGAGACTGGAGAAGAGACACAAGGAACACATCATACTCTATGACCCCAGTGGAGTGAGTGGAGGGGAGAGAAGGAGGGGCGAGTGGAGGGGAGAGAGGGAGGGGGCAGGTGGAGGGGAGAGAGGGAGGGGGCGAGAGTGGGGAAGGGAAGTTTGGTGATAATCAGGCACTCTTCTCTAATTTTACTTCTTCACTTGCTAACAGTAGTCTGCATTATACGAATGGCAAGTGCATTGAGTCTGGGTTTATGGAATGGTGGTGAACGAGTATGTAACCAGTTTTCAATCTTTCTCTCTCCTATTTTCCTATCTCCTATCTATCTACAATTCTCCCCTCCTCCCCTTTTCCTCTCCGACCCAGGGAGTAGATAACAGTATTCTTCTGGGGAGTGGCCCACAGAGGAGCCTCCATCAGAATACCTCGTGGGGTTGCTCAAGGTTGACATAATTATGACATCATACATATTAGCATGACATCATACATAAATATCATAGGACCATTATCAACTTGACTGGAATGCATTTGAGTCTGCATTTGACCACTACAATGAAAGTGTGTTAGAGAGCTCTTTGTTTACAGTGGGTGTTGTTTAGAGCCGCGTACTATACTGTGTGGTACATACATGTTTGTGCACATGTATTGATTCTATTATACAAGTATCTATATAGTAGGCATTGGTATGATAGTGACAATATCAACTTTCTCTCCTCTCCCACATGACGTATGTGTGTGCAGCTGGTCGAGGCTACCTTCAGGACAGAAGGCCGTCCAGTAACAGTGATCCCTACCTGGCGTGTGAGGCTCTGGTCCGTACTGCAGTCCTGGATGACTGGACTGACTTTGACTGGACTAACATGCCCTCTAAACTTTGTCTCTACTAGCTATATACCACTGATTGTACACCAACTGAAATCTCTGGTTTACTTTTCACCATTAATTTTGTCTGCATTCACATCGTTGCAGTGGCAAAATAGCGTCGTCATGAGAGTATGTTGCCAACTAATTGACAGGGCTTTGTAATAGCTATGGAGTAGAGAGATGGAGAGAAGAAAGCGGAAGAGGGTAGTATTGCAGGTTTCTCATGCAATATCCAACAGTATCTGTATAACCCTCCAACTCCCAGCCCATAGTGTTTGTGGCAGGAAACCCCGAATATGGAGTAGTATACTAACTTCTTGTGAGTAATGCTGTGTGTGTGGCTGTGTACTAACACAACTGAGTGTTTTTAGAATAAGCCACACTTTCACTGTTTCAGAAAATAAAACATTTTTGCAGGTGTCTTCAGTTGGCCTTACTGCCTTGGCTAAAGGGGTCTGTGCAAAGGTTCTCAAGGTAGCTACAGAGCATTACAGCTGAACTGTACATTATGCTGCCATTGCCTTGTTGTTGTTGTTGTTGTTGTTGTTTTTGACACATTTATTATGTTGCTACAATCATCTCCTCTTCATTTTGTGTTTGTTGTTGAAGGTGACACTGACTCTCCCTCTATTACTGACTGAACTGGAATTGGACATGAGTCACTGTGAGAAGGTGAGAGGTGATGGAGTCCTGTGTCTCCTCTCCCACTGTCCCCTCTCTTCATCCTCATCCTCCATGGCTGTCCTCTCCTCACCTCCCTCTCCAGAGACATTGCCAGTCGTGGCCACAAACTCAAACAAGTCACCTGGACCATCTATATACTAACATAGGGTCCTTTTTAGTTCGTGTCTTTGTCTGCAGTTATCATGCAGTGTGTCTTGCATTGTGGCGCTATTGAAGGTTATGTTAACTACTTGTGACATCTGCTGAGAGGTCAGTTGGAAAGACTATTCTCTGATCTGTAGCTAAAGATGACAAGACAGAAAGATGAAAGAATAGCTAGTAGCATCTATTACACTAGGTAGTATTAAAAGGGATGGTATAAAAAAGCAACTTGGGGAGGAGGGATGACTGATTCATGCATGCCAAAGTACTATATGCATGTCCGTTGTCAGATTCTGCAGAGCTATATATTCGCGCGGGTTGTACACGCATGCGCGCTCGCAGGGTGCACATAATTTCCATTGGCCGCGAGGACGAGTCCGTGGCCTACAAAACCGAGTGTATATACAAGACCATTACGGAAGACTGGCCATGGGAGCTGCAAGCTCAAAACAGAAGGTAAAGGACATCTTCGCTTCAGATATGTGGGCAATGTAACTGTCTTAGCTAACCATGCATGTATTGTTGATCAAAGCTGCATAGTATGTAGTAGGCGCAGGCATTGCTACGATTTGCAAGCTTAGCTAGTGACTGTCTTGTCGGGTTTCCAGAGGAGGTAACCTGTTCTTTTGAAATATGTTTGGGTGTAGTCTCTCTACCCAGACTCTCTCGGGGGAGGAGAGAGTCTGGTGAGTTTGGTTTTTCACATGTCGCAGCGTGTTGATTGGCCTGCGTACAAGCATATTTGGGAATCAAGTTTGAGCATTCGCGATAGGAGTAAGTAGGTAACGTTAGCCAGTTTGTGGATGAGCAGCTAGAATTGCTGCTTGGTTCCTTGAATTCAAACTCTCTTGCACTCTCGCAAATAATACCGTGGATCAACCACAATATTCGCCACCTAGGAAGAAAGGCACCGAGTATATTATAGCTAGGGGGAGGGGGGCGTGGTCATACATTCGCGTAACGCCCGGATGGATCGTCGTAGGATGACTAGGGTATCGCGCAACGCATATGCAACGTAGGGGCGTAGTCATTCGTTCGCGGAGCCGGACCTCGTCTAGGGCATCGACAGACTCAACCAATCGATACCATAGTCCTAGCCCTAGACGAAGTCCGGCTCCTATCACGATCCATCCGGGAACGTATGACCACGCCCTACCGTACTCGGTGCCGTTCTTCCTAGGTGGCGAATATTATCCAATGCCGACAAACACCGACTAAATCCCGGGTCTGTGTGTGTGTGTTTGTGTGCTACTCTCCATCTGACTTCTCGAGTGTTCGTTCGTCTCACGAAGGATACCGCCTACTTAACGGGCAATGAAGGTCGAAGGGTTTTCTCTGAAACTGCTCCGTTGCAAAGCTAGAGCGCGAAAAAGCCTATATGCAAATACACAACGGACGGGATGGCTTGATACGGTCCGATCTATACGCGTGCTCTGCGTACCTCGGAGGCACCAGAAGATGCAACGCAGGGCGTGTATCGCCTCTCGCATGCTATCTAGTAGTGTGGTTAGCCCGCGTCAGACTCTGCGCGAGCTGGCTAGAGACCATGAGTAAGAGCTAAAACTAAACCCAGCCCATCAATTAGTGGTACGGCGCATGCGTTTACTTACGCGTGCGCGTCACAATGCGCCGTATGAAGTGCTTTTTATTTTTATTTTTTATAATCAAACCTTTTACGGGGTCACGTAAACGGGAATTCCCCTTTACTAAATAAGGAAAAAGAAAACAAAATAAAAACAATGGAATAAAGTAGATAGGTCTAGAAGTTCTCGTAGGGTTCAGAGTCACTCGGTGGTTGGGACATGGCCCTCAGCTGTTGCGAGGGTTATGTCCGGTACACGTATTGGGCGGTGGCGGGAGGACCTGCTGCCTCGAACACACATAATGGCTGAGCGCAGGGTGGCAAAGGATAGTCGGCATCTCAGCCAGGCCATAACGGTTGAATATGGTTTCTGCTGTTTCCCGGCAATCATGTCTGCGAGTCGTTTATAGAAAGTTGCCGCTTCACGTCCCATACCTCCTGTGGTGGTGAAGACGATAGGTGTGAAAACACCACGCTCTACGTCTCGGACACGTTGACCATACTCCCTTTTCTTCAAGAGTTCGTGTTTCCTGTAGGCAGACGAGATGTTCGTGGAACGATTACTGGGTGCGTTTGGGTAGAAAACCGACGTCGAAAAATGCATCCTGTGATCTGTTCCAAAAACCCCTTGCACGAATGTCTAGGCGGGCCCCATCTTCAGAGTTTTGCAGAGCGTAGAGCGAGTGTTTCCCCCAGTTAGAGGCTGCATGAGTGGTTCCGTGGCCACGTTATGACAGACTTCTGTAAGGAGTGATGCTGTGATGTCACGTATTTCGTTATGTCGTATCGTGGGAAATCCTCCCATGTGGCAGATCATTGCATGGTCCACCGAGAACACGGTTCCACAGTTGCAGGTGTGAGGGGTGTTACTGAGGCTCCACCCATATCTCAAACATAGGGCATCTCTGAATTCGCCTTTGTGGAGGTAGAAAAGTCGTGGTCTTCCAGTGGGAGGACTGAGAGCCATGCGAGGAGCCTTTCTCCATTGCAAGGTCGATAGAACGTCTCAAATTAGGGTTGAGATGGTTGCGGATTTCTTTGGCTTTGTCCTCCTGTCTCTGTCGGTTTGTCTTCCGGATGTCTTTCTTGATGGCAGTTACCTCCGTCTGGTCAACGGCTTGTTCAGGGCTCTGTGCTACTATCAAAGCTGCAAGAGGTGCTGTCAGGCGCTCAGAGGCCTGGAAAGCATGGGAGGAGTTCGTTGCTGGATTTGTTAGCCCCAAGCCACCAAGCCTGACTGGGAGGGTGAGGAGGTCTCGTTCCTGTCTGGAGCAGGGTGCTCGGCCAGTGATGGCTGGGATAAGACATTGGTGGATAGCAGTCTCCAGGGGGAGTAGTAGATCATGAATGTCAGGGATCGTTCTGGAGATGTAGGACCAGCGGCTAGAGAGGCCATGGGTGAAAGCTGCGTAGGCTGCATGTGGTTGGGTGGTAGCTATTTCGGCCAAACGTGTGATCTCCTGTGTCCAGCCCTGCACTTTGTTGGTCACATATTCCTCTGTGAAGGTCCTGGACCCGAGAGCTGCACCCAGATGACGTTTCCCTTCAATGGAGATATTCACATCGGTGTCAGTGAATAACTGTCTGGCCGTTTCTTCATGTTCAGGCTTGACTACCAAGTGGGTTTTTGAACCGTTTGGGTAGTATTCAAATGTTGGACCGAGCACTGTGAGGTCGTCCCACCAAGTCTTCAGTTTGTTGCAGGAGGCTGCACTTGTTGCGTCATCCGCGAACCAGGCTTGCTGTACATCCGGTGAATTTGTTCCTAACTGGTGGATTAGAGGGGTTACTCTGCCAGGGCATACATGGCCATCGCCAATGGATCTCCCTGTGTAGTGCCCTCCGTTGAGGCGATTTCTCCGCTTCCGACAATTACCATCCTGACCGGTGTTCTGTAGGTATTGATCAGGATCTGTGCTATTGATGGGCAGATGATGCTGATGTTTTGGAGGGCAGCTTGCCTGTTGATCGTGTTAAAGGCATTTGTGGCATCCACCAGCAAGACTCCTTCCGTGTCAGGGTGGTGGAAGATACGTCGCATGGCATGTACTGCTGCCTCACATCCACCGTCTTGACCAGCACATACCTGGAGAGGACCGGCTGCCTCTTCAACATCACGACCCACAATCCGTAGCACAGCCTTTGCTAGAATTCGTCTCGGGACCTCTCCAACTCCGATGGGTCTCACGCCTGGACATTTGTCGAGTGGGATCAGTCGGCATGCCACGAATGCGCTCAACCCCTCTGGGTGGACAAGGGTAGTGCATATGCGGCGACCCACTGCGGCCAAGGCGGAGCATAGGTTGCGGGAGGCTGATCCAAAGGAAGAACACAGACGTCTCCAGGCATATGCGTCTAGTCCTGAGAGACCAGCTGCACCGTTGGTAGGCATCGCTGCTTGATGGATGGCATCTGCGTTCAAGTTGTCAAAGACGATTGGGTTGACTGGCTCGGGTGCATCACGTAGAAGGGAGCCTCCCACTGGATATTATATAGCTAAAGTCACGCGGTGTTTAGCTAAAGTCATGTGGTGCTTGCCTAAAGTCATGCGACGTTTGTCTCAGAACTACTTTTTTAGATCAAGCCTTAAACGTCGCGTGATTTTACGTAAATATCGCGAGACTTAATATCGTGTCATTCTAGCAATCGTCGCACGACTTTAGCTAATCAGCGAATGACGTTAGGGCTATACGCCGCATATTTTGCATCCGTTGTCGATTATTAGCTAAATGCGCGTTATTTACTATTCGTGTTCGATATTTAGCTAACGTCGACGACCAATGCTATATGCATGGGTTTATAGCTGTAGTAATGCTCATAAGCTATATAGCTAAAGTCACGCGGTGTTTAGCTAAAGTCATGTGGTGCTTGCCTAAAGTCATGCGACGATTGCTAGAATCACACGAGGTTTAGCTGAACTCTCGAGATATTTACGTAAATTCACGCGACGTTTAGGCTTGCTCCAAAAAAGTAGTTCTGAGACAAACGGCACTTCATAGCGCCGAGGGTTTGCACTTTAGTTCATTGCGTAGAGGTGCCAGCAGTATGCAGCATGCAATATTAGCAGAATAGCTAACCAGCTAGCAGGTGAATGTAGATCTTGCCGAGCAGGCGCCGACCCACACAGGTGCATGACTAGCTACTGCAGAGTCTACAGCGTGCGATGCTATAAACAATAAAACATTTTGCGAAAAGCAAGTGTAAAATCTCAGTGCTTTACGTTTTTATTCATCACCCACAGTGTAGTTTAAGCATATGAGTGCCATGTGAATACAATTGCCAGTTCCAGCCACTAGGTCGGCTCACAATTATATTTGCTTTTTCTGTCCAGACCAAGGATCCCAATGACATATCTCTGAGCCTCAGAGGTCTGTATGGCTATCAGAATGTGGTGATCCACACAGCCCAGGTCCTGGGCTCTGGATCCTATGGCAATGTGGTGAAGGCAAGACTGGATAAAATGCCATGTGCTGCTAAAATCCTCCATCGAGTCATCGTGGACTCCCAGGACCCTGGACTCTCTGACTTCATCTCTCGATTTGAGCAGGAGTGCCAGATCCTACGAGACCTCAAACACCCCAACATTGTCCAGTTCCTAGGTGTGGTCCAAGACCCTACAACCAACAAGCCCATTCTCCTCATGGAGCTGATGAAAGACAGTCTGACACACTTTCTGGAGAGTTCGCCAACCAACATACCCTACCATGTCCAAGTGAACATCTCCCACCACATAGCTCTAGCAGTGGCTCACCTGCACAGGAATGGCATCCTCCATCGAGACCTGTCCAGCAACAACATCCTCCTGAATGCCAGCCACCAGGCCAAGGTGACTGACTTTGGCATGTCCAAGATCGCAGCCTCCAATCCCTCCATGACCCGCAGTAAGGTGACCCTGTGTCCAGGAACACTGGTATACATGCCACCAGAGGCCCTTCGTCCCCAGCCTCGCTACTCCGACAAGATCGACACATTCTCCGTTGGAGTTCTCCTTCTCCAGATTGTCACCAGAAAGTTCCCTGCTCCCACTGCCGGTTCTGTTGCAAGGGAAGATCCCAAGTCTCCCACTAAAGAAAGCTATATTCCCGTTTCTGAAGTTGACCGCCGAAAGTCAGACATTGTCACGGTTCCAACCTCCTGTGGTTTTCTGCCAGTCATTAGAGACTGCCTCAAAGACATCAGCAGTGACAGACCAACAGCTGCCCAGCTCTGCCAGAGACTGGGTCAACTGAAGAGTACAATTGCAGTCTACAGTGGGAGTCTTAGTGCACTACCTTTTGAAGTAGGTTTATCCCAAACACAATTTTGCTTGTAGCCCTTCTAAATATCCGTGTCTCTATACCCAGGGAAGAACAGAGCTCCACGATGCTGCTGAAAGAGGAGATGTGGAGGTAGTTGAGAGACTCCTCTCCACTTCTGTCAATATCAACTCCAGGACTGAGGAAGTGAGGCTCCCTACTAGTGAATATGTAGTCTCATTTCTGACTCAGTTCATTGACTGCTGCTCCACTGGTCTCTGTATCCCCACCACTTGCAGGAAGGAGACACTGCTCTACTGTTAGCCTCTCTCAGAGGTGATGTTGAGGTTGTACGTCTGTTGCTCAAGGCTGGGGCTGTAGTCTTCATTCCTGACAAGGTGTGGAGAACATGTCATGTTCTATTGTTAGTAGGATATGTGAGGTTATCACTGTTAGCATAGTGGACTATAGACTTGTGAAGGTTGGATGAGGAGGAGACCTGACTGAGATGGTTGTCAGGTCTCCTGGTGTCCAGGGAGCGAGATGAGTTGTCAGCAGTGAGTCACGATTGTCTCATTAGATTCTCTCTCACTGTGCAGGATGGTCTAAGTCCACTCTATGTTGCCAGTCAAGAGGGATACTCTGAGGTAGTGGATGTTCTGGTGAAAGCAGGAGCTGATGTTAATCAGGCTGGGACCAAGGTATGTGAGCATATCAGTTATTTACAACATCCTATAAAGTGTGATGTTGTGCTGAGTGCCTTAGTCACCCCACTGACTGGCTGTCTGCTACTGTCACACCGCCACCTCAACACGCGCAGGCCATCACTGACTTTTACTCCATTACCACATTACAGTAGCGTTGTTGTTAGCTTATTATCTTCAGTATGTGAGGTTTTCACTGTTAGCCTATATAGTGAGAAGTGTAGACTATAGACTGGTGAAGGTTGGATGAGGAGGAGACCTGACTGAGATGGTTGTCAGGTCTCCTGGTGTCCAGGGAGGGAGATGAGTGGTCAGTAGTGAGTCAGGAATGTCTCATTAGTTCTATCTCACTGTACAGGATGGTCTCAGTCCACTGTATGTTGCCAGTCAAGAGGGACACACTGAGGTGGTGGATGTTCTGGTGAAATCAGGAGCTGATGTCAATCAGGCAACAACCAAGGTATGTATGTGAGCACATCAGTTAGATTAGACAACATCCTTGTCTTGTCAGATGAACCTTGAAATGAGTTCACATAAATTAGTTTGCATGTCCTGCTCCAATATGATAGCTAAACTGTTTTATGATCCCTGACAAGAAAGTGTGATGTTATGCTGAGTACCCCACTGACTGCCTGTCTGCTACACACAAACCAGTCAGCATGAACCTCTTTGATACGACTGCAAACACACGCTTCTGGTCCAAGATAACATTGGCCAACTTCAACTGGTCCTTTTCCAGTACAAGCTTCAACAGCAAGAAAAAATTGGTAGCCAAAATTTTATCCACGATGTATTTTAAATGCCACCTTTGGCAATTTAAAGTAAGCCTGCTGTGGGTTAATTGATTCTCGTATGTAGACTGAAGTGAAAAAATTCAATTCATGCCTGTGCTATATTGCTCCATGCACACCAATACATCACACCTTACTGTACCAAATCATCTACTATAGTAACCAATGTGGAATTATGACAGTTGTCTGTATTGCAGTGTGTATTAATTTTCATGCACCTTCACAATAGTAGTCAAAGCAATCTTGTCGTGAAGATTAGGGACCAGCCCCCCTCCTCCATTATAGGTTGTCCTCTACCACCTCCTGCCCACCTGCCCCTGTATCTATCCTCCCATCATGTGCACTCAAAACAAGCCAGAAAAGGCAATCATCAAAATTAAGTCACCTTGCAGTATCTAATGAAAAGCACTAAAGTGCAAAACCCTCAGCGGCGTGGAATAGTGCAAGTATCAAAAGTATCCAGTATAGCTTTGTGCAGTCTGTCACGTTTATGCCTGTGCAACGTCTGCTCAATTGTTTCCGATGCTCTTGTGGTTTCTTTACGCAGTCTATCACTTCTTCGCCGGGCTGAAATTTGGTCGTATATTTCGGCTGCCCTTGTGCTCTGTTTACGTAGTCTGTCTTTCTCTGTTCTGGCATATTTCTCTTCTTCAGTCTCTAAAGTTCTTCGACGTTTCATCGCTTCCTTTTTGGCAATACACTGCGCTTTCCTTTTTGACGGAAAGGTATGCCCACATTCGCAAACTGCCCGTCTAGCATGTACTGTTGTGTCACACTGCAGACATACCTTCTTCAGGCGTCTGTCGCTCTCCATCGGTCAGACCCCTCTGCATACAACGCGCAGAATGAATGAGTGCTGATTGCCAGCTCAAAAAGGTATTTTCACCAGAAACGTCCAGAAGTTTGCTCGAGCGCTGCACTCACAAGAAAATGAAACCCTGGCTGCTCAACGGTGCTATTAACGGCGAAAAATGTGCGCAACCCGCCAGTGTAACATACGCATGCGTTTATTTCTCGCTTCCTAGAGGTAAGCGAATACGAATTAGCATATTGGCTTGTTAACTTTTCACGCCATAACTGTCGAACGCATTGCTTTTACGAAAATCGCCAAATATATAATCAAGCCGGTATAGCGCTATACGTTTTGGTATCGCTCTTTCGTTGTCTCGTTGCGCGCGGTTGCAGAAAACGTGGTAACAGGCAGACAGACAGGCAGACAGAAAAACTTACGGAACAAGTACAGTAACCCTCGCTGCGCATGCACGCCGAGGGTTAATGAATAGGCTTTAACACAGATAATTTGGGGAATCTAGGTTGTCTTGGGTGAAAGCTTCTTCCACCCAGTTCTTGACCCTCCTTGTGTTTAAATAAAACCATTTGTATATAGTAGGCAAGAATGTATAGCATTACTTAAGAGTGAACATGACGCATTCATTTGTTGGTTTGAATAAAATTAATGTGGTCATTCAAATGACCACTTTTCTTTCCATGCAGGAACCATGCAGTGTTCCTCTGGGGATAGCTGCCGAGAAGGGACATACTGAGACAGTTCAGAGACTGTTGGAGGCAGGAGCCAACGTCAACTACCACAACAAGGTTATGGATAGCCCTGTTCCCAGGCTCACATGCAGTAGTATAATATAGAGATAGGCTCATAATGGTGAGCCAAGTGAGCCTACTTTTGAATCCAGCTTTTCATACAGTATGTAATGAAAACAAGGAAGCTACTGTCACACATACTGTCAAGTTTTACTTAACTTGAAATGGGTGAAAAGGAGTTAAAATATGCAATCTTCGCGTGTCGCGCTTGTGTGTAACTCTCACATTGACTCCTCACATTCATGTTGATATTGTTACAAATTGGACTGACTATTTCTGTTCTCACCTCACACCAAGTCCCATGTCCAGAGTTCTGTTTTATTTCTCTACAGAACGGTCAGACTCCAGTCTACTCTGCCTCCTGGAAGGGTCATGCAGCTGTAGTTCAACTGCTGATAGAGAATGGAGCTGACATCAGTATCTGTGATAAGGTATTGTACACTTGTTACACTCTCTATAGCTGTTTAAGTAAAACTGCAAGCTAGTTGTTTCGGACACTCTCATGTCTCATCAGTTGATTGCTGTGGACTAACTTTCAAGCTGTAAAAAATAATAATCCAAAAAGTTGGTGAGGTTTAGGATTATTGTGCAATGGCTAAGAGACCAGTGCCATAATTGCCGAGCGCATTAGCGTGAGGCAGCTACTCCGGGTTGTATTCTCGCGATATGCATACATACGTACGTGTCGTTCACGCTTAAGAATGTCAATTAGTCACGATTAGGGAATGTAAATTAGTCACACTTAGGAATGGCAATTAGTCACCAAAAGGAAGTGAAACTTCCGTCATTCGTAGGAACTCTAGTTTCCGCCGTGCGCGCAGATTCGTAGGAAGTCTGGCTTCGCGCGCAGTCAGTAGAGCGCGCGCATGAGCGGCCTCAGTCGGACTGTTTACGCATTTGCTGGCAAGGCGCGAGGCAAAATATACGCGTGCGCATTCCTAGTAATTTCCTACTAGCCTCATACAGATTGTGTACTCAGCGCTGTCGGGTTGTCAATGGAGTAGTGAGGCTGAGGCTAGCCATATAAATGTGGGAAGTTTCATACAAGGTGGCCTTGGATGTAACATGAGATCTGCACAAGCTTCAGAGCCGAATGTAAAGCACTTGAAAGTGCATAACCCTCGCCACTTTATTCTTTATTTCAGCAGCAAATGGCTACTAGCTACACTACGTCAGTTTTTGGCACATGCGCATTCAATATTACAGCAAAGTGAAAAGCACTGGTCTTGACAACCCTCACCACTATTCAGCTACATACTAGCTACACTACCTCAGTGACTCCTTCACTGAATGGCTCTCTCTGTTGCTCTCAATCTCGATCCTACTCAACTGTACCATCAATACAGCCAGACAAGCAAATCTTCTCCACACACGCAAAGCATCTAGCATCTAAGTACAACGATGGGTCGCGATCTCTATTTTACGTACACTCACCTTGGCAGCCGTCCGTTTCACCAGCTTCCCCGGCCTTTTCCGCTCCAGAATCGTATTTTACCACGCAGTTGAAAGCATGTCCACGTTTCACGCTCAGAGTTGCTCCTTCACTTAACGGATTCACTGGCCGTGTGCTACTCTCACTTCACCGGCAACCTCGATCCTACTCAACTGTACAATCAATACAGGCAGACCAGCATATCTTCTCCACTTAACTAAGTACAACGATGGTTCGCGATCTCTATTCGACGCACACTCACCTCGACAGCTGCCCGTTTCACCAGCTTCCCCGGCCTTCTCCGCTCCAGAGTCCTATTTTACCATGCATGCTTCCTACATGATAATATCACGCTCAGAGTTGCCGCGGTTACCGAGAAAAACGGTGGACAGCAGGCGAGGGTTAATCATGCACCCCAGTCAAGGGAATGTAACAACTTTGCTAACCTGTGACCCCCTTTTATCATAGGCTTTGTTTCCACACCCTCCCCAGTTGTCTGAGATTAGTGCATTGATTTCTAGGCAACAAATAGCCATGCATGTCAGCAAACACTATTGGTACGTAATTACATGTTCCAGACTGGAAGTATACCCCACTTCCTACTCTCTCACTGTACAGAATGGTGGGAGTCCACTCTATATTGCTAGTCAAAAGGGACTCTCTGATGTAGTGGACATTCTGCTAGAGGTTGGTGCTGATGTCCACCAGGCCATCACCAAGGTATGATACACAGTTGTTTAGCTAGTCAGCTGATTTGTACACCAACCATGGTGGCAGTGGTGTAGCCAAGAGCTCCTCAACACTGAGATTTGTATGTACAACAAAGCTGTCAAGCACTTTTGTTAGTGCAACACATGTCACTAAATGTGTAAAGCAGCGACGCCATTTGCATAATACACATGTGCATGCAAGAATTTATGTGTATAATGTATGTGTGTGATCTCACAAGAATGGTCTAGTTTTCCGTTAGTTAGATGCCGAGTCCAGGAAACTACGTGCATTAGAGAGCCGCGGGGGCCCTGGGCTGTCGGCATTCGAGCGCAGCGAGGACGCTACTAATGGGCCCCTAATGCGCGTAGTTTCCTGGACTCTGCATCTAACCTATTTAGAGCTATGGAAACGCTTGCGCGCAATTCAAATTCATTGCATCTGAAACGGCGAATCAACGCTGCTTGCTTTCTCGCTGGGAAGTCGAGCGAGGGGCCCAGGGAGGGCGTCGACAACTGGCTCGCCTCTACCAGTACCTTCTGGGGGACTCCTCCCAACGTAAGTGAGCCATTGCGCATAGAGTCCGGAAAGTTTATTTAGAGTCCGGAAAATTTGCTCTACAGTCCGCGCATGGACCAATCAGATTGCACGATTTAAATTACCCAGCTCTAATATCAGCACACAGCGTATCATTTTAGGAAACACTACATCCCATTCTCACCCTTCATACGGAACTGACTTTTTTTTCTTGGTTTTCGTGAGAACGCACATTTTTACGAAAGTAAAAAGCCGTAGCTACCATGTTCTGATGCATTGTATGTCTGTGTGTTTGTTAGTGTCGTGTCTCATTTCCTATCCTGTAACATTACTACATCCCATACTCACCTTTCATATAAAATTTACACTTTTTTCTCTTGGTTTTGCACATCTGTGTTCTGACACGTCGTATTGTCTGAGTATTGGATAGTGTCGTGTCTCATTCCCTGATCCTCTGAAACCACACTCAATTCACAGTCTCTCTCTCTCATCAGGGTGGTTCTGTTCCTCTGGGGATAGCTGCCGAGAAGGGACATACTGAGATGGTTCAGAGACTGTTGGAGGCAGGAGCCAACGTCAACCACCAGAACAAGGTTGAAGTTTTCTTTGTCAAAATCAATGTACGTACATTTCCTACGTGCATCTCTGCACACTGCATGTGCACAAGTGCCAGTTTTGTGTGGTTGATGTCATGCGGGAAGTCAGGGTCTGAGTGATTGTTTGACAAATCCTTCCAAAACAAGTGATAGTTTCCCAGGGATACTAAATTATTTCAGTTAGTGGACTTTCCACACCCTCCAGTTGTCTGATATCAGTGCATTGATTTCTAGGCAATGGCTGACAAATAGCCATGCATGTCCGCAAACACTGTTGTTACGTAATTACATGTTCCAGACTGGAAGTAAACGCCACTACATACTCTCTCACTGTATAGGATGGTGCCAGTCCACTCTATTTTGCCAGTCAAGAGGGACACTCTGACGTGGTGGACATTCTGCTAAAGGCTGGTGCTGATGTCCACCAGGCCACCATGGTATGATACACAGTTGTTCTAGAGTTAGTCAGCTCATCTGTCCACCAACCATGGTGGCAGTGGTGTAGCCAAGAGCTCTGACTAGACATCGACGCTGAGATTGGTATGTACAACAAAGCTGTCGAGCACTTTTGTTTGTGCAACACATGTCACTAAAACGTGTGTAAACCTGCGATGCAATTTGCATAATACACAAGTGCATGCAAGAATTTGTGTATAGCTATGTGTGTGTCTGATCCCACAATAATGGTCTAGTTTGCCGTTGTCTCACTCTACTATCAGCTAGGTATAATACACAGTGTATCATTTCAGGAAGCACTACATCCCATACTCACCGTTCATACGGAACTTACTTTCTTCTCTTGTTTTCGTGTGAACACAGCACTTTTACGAAAGTGAAATGTCATAGCTACCATGTTCTGATGAATTGTATATCTGTGTGTTTATTAGTGTTGTGTCTCATTCCCTATCCTGTAAGATTACTGCATCCCATACTCACCCTTCAGAATTTAGCTACACTTTTTTCTCTTGGTATTCCAGAGGACGCAGCATTGTTACATATAGGTTAGATGCCGAGTCCAGGAAACTACGCGCATTAGAGAGCCGCAGGGGCCCTGGGCTTTCAGCGTTCGAGCGCAGTGAGGACGCTACTAAGGGCCCCCAAGGCGCTCTAATGCGCGCAGTTTCCTGGACTCGGCATCTAACTTGTTTAGAGCTATGGCAACGCTTGCGCGCAATTCAAATTCGAAACGGCGAACGAACGCTGCTTTCTCGCTGGGAAGTCGAGCGTGGGGCCCAGGGAGGGCGTCGACAACGGGCTCGCCTCTACCAGTACCTTCGCAGACCGCTAGCCCTAATCTTTTTTATAGCTCCATTTGCATGTCCGTGTTCTGACACGTTGTATTGTCTGAGTATTGGTTAGTGTCGTGTCTCATTCCCTGATGCTCTGAAACCACACTCTGAGGTGTCTGGTCCTCACTGACCTGCCAGTGCTGAACTCTACAATTCACTCTCTCATCAGGGTGGTAATGTTCCTCTGGGGGTAGCTGCCCAGAATGGACATACTGAGACAGCTCAGAGACTGTTGGAGGCAGGAGCCAACGTCAACCACCAGAACAAGGTGAAGGACTATCATATTTCTCCAACATGCATCTGCGCACATGGCACACACACATGTGTGAGGAAGCCAGTGCCCAAGGGATCTTTTTACGTCGAATAATCCTTGCCCTAGGAAAAACAACCGGTAGATAGCTACTATATCAGAGGCGTAGACACAAATCAAAACCTGGGGGGGGGCTTGAGCTTCAGTTAGGTGCGCACGCGCGTACTCATAGTCATTTTGTTACGTCACTCTTATCGTAGCTGAAGGCTAGCTCATCGTCGGTGGGACAAGAAGCAGGAGAGCCTCTTTCGAGCGCACTCCAGCGGCGACCGTGGGAAAGTGTTCTGGAGCCAGCCGGCGATGAACCTCTTTCCGTAGAGGGCGAGGTAGAAGGTACCTGTACTACAGATGCACAGGAAGCGGGAGAGAGCGGTACGCTCTCGCTTTCTGGCGAAGCCAAGTGCTGCGGGCCAGAACTCTCCGAGCCAGCTAGTGCTGATGGTACTGCCGCCGATATGACGGTAACGCATGTAACAGGTGCTTCTTCATGCCTAGTAATCCCGGATAGTGCACACCAACCTGTAGTGCAATTTCCACTGCGTACATACGGCAAGCAACAGTGTGCGTTTTGCTGTTCGTGGTATAGGAAGTATCTGTGGTTGCACTATCAGGAGGCAGGAGACGGTGTGATTTGCTTCTATTGTCTAGTGGCAAAAAAACATGGATTAAAAAGCTCTGGAGTGGTTCGCAATAAATCTTTCGATGAAACTTTCACTAAAACCAGATTCTGCAACTGGAAAAAGGCTCTTGGGAGATTCGAGAAGCATCAAAGCTCTCTCGCTCAATGTGATTCAATGCATCAGGTTGTTGGTAAAAACAAAGATAATTATTGTTGCAATTTTCAGAAAAGAATATAAATAAAAAAGTGTGTAGCTACCCAAATGTACGTAGTGCGACTGTCTTATTTAACGGACGTTGGTGTGCGTAATTTTGACACTAATCTTCCCCCATACATTTGATTACAAGGGCAGCCCAGGCACAGACTACTCTTAGAGTGATATAAAGTGTGTCACAGTTGGAATATTTTGCACTTGGCTATTAACTACCATTATACTCTTGAAGAGATTAGATGAATGATTATTTATAAACACTCAAACAATGTATTTTACTATTTCATGAGTATAATTATGTTATGGTCTCTATTATAATATCTACGCAGGAAGGAACCACGGCCTTGTTCGTTTCATAATGTTATGACGTATTCATACACAATGGTCTCCTTTGTAACACAGGAGAGAACCACAGCCTTGCTCGCTGCAGGATGGGAAGGTCACTCGGAGGTGGTGAAACTACTGCTAGGAGCTGGGGCCAGAGACATTCCTAATAAGGTAGACCACTCAGTCACTATGATGTGTAGGAAGAGTGTAACCACAGGGTGTACGTTGACACAAATGTGTGTCAAACCTATTCTAAGACATTTTTCAAAGCTATCACGGGTGGGACTCGAACGGATGTCACTCTGTTCTCTAGCTATGGGGCAGCTCAGCAGGCAGGGCTTAACCAAACCTTCTGTAGTTTTTATGAAGATTGCACATTGGTTTTACAAAAGCACAGTTTACCATTGCACGCAATGAAAAGGTGTGCCACTGTTCTTGCAAAATCACTATAGTGGGCTGGGTACTACCAAACTGTTCTCTTCTGTTTGCCAATCATAGTAATGGGAGGTGTCTTCATGCATATTAATCTGACACACATCTAATGGACGTCTATTTGTCTCTACAGTTTGGAAACACTGCTCTGAGCGAGGCCAGAGCCAACAACCACAATCATGTGTTACAGTATCTACTGCAACACCAGCCAAAGTGAAAAGTAGACACTCTAGCACTGTTGCAAGCACATAGTTATTCCACTTCATATCTCATACATATTATGCTCAGATTTGACTCTTTGTAATTCATGTTTAGGCTTCTTACTATGTATGTGGATGCAACATTTCATCACCCTTCTACTATAATATTATACAAAATTCCCTCAATTATAATTATTATCTCTTAATATCCATGAACATCCATAGTCATGAAAGGACCTGATGCCAATGACCTGGTTTCACGAGCACATGGGGCAACGTTTAATATTAGTTTATTATCTTAGAAGGAAATTCAGCTGGTGGAAATATATCAACGCCTGTGTAAATTTAAGCTGAAACGCATTGGACTATAATGCCTTAGCCAAAACTCCCAAGCGATACAGCAACACTCCGTGCCTATAATACTACAAAATTACCTCAATTATACCATATATCCACCAAGATCCATAGTCATGGCTAATGCATGCACAGAACCGGTTTCACAAGTGCATGGGACAAAGTTTATATATCACCCCAGAAGGAAATTCAGCTGGTGGAAATCACTCAACGCCTGTGTGTATGTATATAGCAATAAGCTGAAACACATTCAACTACTGTATAATGTCTTTCGCCAAAACTTCCAATGGATATATACAGCAACACAGCCTATTTCTGCCTCTATTTTGATCCAATTTGGCTCTCACTTACAATCTCTCAGTGAAGATAAAGCAGGTGGACATTGATGCTACAAACTGCACAATACTAGGGACCATATACCACGACAGTGATGACCAAACAACTGGTAAATCAGTTGGACTTAAATCAAGACAACACTGTCTGTTTGCCTACAACAGTAATAAATAGCTAATCACTACACATTCCTTAAAAGTGCATGTAGAGCCTCGTTTTGACACTGGTATTGAATAACGGCGTCTTACTTAAGTTGGTTTTTGGTCATAGAGGCAAACATGGGAGTCATTATACTATCCAGGTCTCCCATTGAACATTAGGAGTATGCACCTATGTTAGAGGTGTTTTGTTATTAGTTGACAACACTATGCTACCTGCTCTTTACTAGGGCCTCCAGTAAGCGGTGTGGATGATCAATCGCATTATACTTCCACCCCGCCTGAACATCATGAACAAAGAATACAATTGCACATAAATGAAAACCAGTGCATATGCGAGACAAGACAGATGCACAAAACTGGCTAGCATAGATCTCTCATGAATGACGTGTAAATACAAAGGTAATGAATATGGTCCAGTTCCCACATGTTGACTACGTGGCAATGACTTCATCATCAAAGAAAGGTGGGACAGGAATAGCGTGCTTGAATCCACCAGTAATGGGTGGACATCCTTGAGAACACTGGCAGGATTGGGAGACTGTAGCTGAGCCACGAGGTCCCTGGCCATTGTGTAGCGCAGGAAATACTCGGCTTTGGCAGAGGTGGTGGGGTTTCTGAGGAACCCTTTGAGAGTTGCAGCCTCTAGTAGTCGTCTCTGTGTTGGCAGGAGATTCAGGACAAGTCCAGCTAGCCAGGACACTTGTCCTAGAGGAAAGATTAGTTGGTGTTACAAAGGGAGGAGGGCTTAAAGTTATTCATACCATCCTCTTTGATGTTGAAATTTAGCAAATTAACAAAACTGTTGAGTCCTCGAGAATTCCACTGGACCAGTGGCACATGGGATGCCGACAGACACCTGCGTGGTCTCCTTCACTGAGCCACAGTCCAAGCATTTATCACTACTTCATTATCCACTGTGACATGATAACTATACATTGTATATTGTTGGTTGGCCATCCAACTTTCTCTTTGAGTGTCTTCTGTAGTGGCAGTACATGAACCTGACTATATACAGAACAACTGCCTGGTGTATTGGTTGTAGGTATCCGGTCCGATAGCATGCAGTAAAGCAATAATATTCATCTACCTTTAGTAGAATGGAGCAATCGAGACTGAGCAACACTGGATGCAGAGTTACATCTTCTCTGCTTTTGCTGTGCTGTGACACCAGCGTTTAGGAGCACAATTTCTATAGCCCAGTCTCTATAACTGGGTTAGACTTTAGTG